CAATTAATGAGTTTTCACTGCTTCAAAGAGACTTTAAGAAATAATAACACCTTTCTAGCTATTTGAAACCACAGTTTCCATAATAATTGGGAATCGAGAATATATACTACAACAGTTTTTCACATGTAACATACGTTAATAGCTTTACAAAAAAATGGCTCTTAGCAATTTTATTTTTATTGAAATTAAAAATTATTTTCAGTTACGATGTTGTACAAACATTTGACTGCGATATACATGATTTGCTGAGTTGCAGAAATTCTTTGAACGTCGTAAACGAAAACGAATAACTCCCTTGCGACTCTGAACGACAAATGTAAACACACTTAAAGACCTAACGTAGCTCCATGCTATTTTGAAATAAGCAAGATATTGAACCTTAAAGATCCTTTAAGACAAAATTGGATGTACATTTAGAAATTATTAAATCATCCTTTATCTATGAAGACTTTTGATAAAATAAAAGTTTTATAGCGCACCGCTGAACACATTTCCCATGAAATGTGTTCAGTGGTGTTGTTAGCGGTTATATGTATGCATTTTCCCAATATACGTAATTGAGGCACTTACGATCCTTATATTATTTAAATGTTACAATTAAATACTTTGAAAGTGTTTTTCAAAGAACAGAGAAGGCATAGATACTTTAACATTATAGTTATTTTAACGGAATGTTGTAAGCGTGACTGGTAATGATGCTCATTACGCCAAAAATTCTCAATAGCAGACCGAAGTTGGGAAACTGACGGTGGTGGTTACCCTCCATGCCTCTTAAAGCACTTAAAGTCGCTAGTCCTGCACGTGATCTTACACCGATCTTTTCGAATTGCCATTCAATCGGATTTCTATGAGGGAGAGGGAATATCGCGCTTTGACGCCAACTCAATGACTGTTAGAATGTGTCGCGTGGTGGTCACGTTTAACTGGTAAGTAATTTTGTTTTTGAGATACGTGCTGCATACTCGTCAAAATGCCGAATGGTTAGCTTATGCGTAACTTTTTCATTTGTCCTTTGTGTTGATTTTTGCTTTTTTCTTTTAATTATTACGTTTGCTGTAAAGAATGGCTGCGAGGTCGATCACAGATGACGACATAGTTCGTACGTTGTTAGGAGATGAAGATAGTATAGTAGGAAATCTATTGATCGAGTCGAAGGCTCGAGAAAAATCCACCAGTGTAAGAATCGTTAGCATGCCCCAATCCTGAGCAGCATACAAATTATCGACCACGTCTGCTAGAGCAGTTGTCGTACCATGCCCTTTCCGGAAGCCAGACTGATAGTGTGGGAGGATGTCCTGTGCTTCAAGATAGTTAGTAAGTTGGCTGCACACTATTCTTTCCAATATCTTGCGACTCCACCTCGGCTGCAGCGGAAGAGGGAGGGTACACCCCTCTCACCGCAGCCCACCGACACACATCCGAAGTGGGCTCGCCAAGCCCACTCGGAGTGGCCACCTCGGGTCAGCCCTACACCACGAACCAGCCAAGGGGTTCCTCTTTGTTCACCGTGTGTGACCAAGCCACGGCTACTAACCCCCCCCCCCCCCCCCGCGCCACGACAAGGCGGAAACCCGCTCGGGGGAGGGGGCAGGGCATGTCCACTTAGCCCTGTGCTCCTTTGTTATCGTATTTGTTTATTTATTTTTAAAATGGATACTAAGACTGACCTTAGTACCGTCTGTATACAATGTGTAATTGTATATTTTTCCGATTATACTCCGATTTTTTGCACCTTATAAGTTTTACACCTGTCACACTTAGTTTATTGTCGCACGTGAAACAGTTTTTGGACGGGCCGATCACTCTTTCTACTCGTTTTAAAATTAAATTGTATGCGCAAAGTATAGCACGTCTTCATTCACTCAGAATTCACGCGTCCCCTCAATTTTACAGCACTTTGGTTTGCTGACAAGTTCTTAAACATTTTGTCAAGCGTGTTGTTAATATTACAGAGCCTGTGTTATAACTCCAAAAGAAATAAAATAATCGTTAAAACTAAATTGGTTTAAAAATTTAAATCTAACTTCTAAAAAAATAATACAATAATGTCCACGTAATGGCTTTAGCAGCTATTATGTTTGTAACACGAATGTGTTGGGTCGACCGGTGAAAGACCACGATATAATTCAATAGAAAAGAATAGTTTCTATTCAATATACAAGTAATTCTTATTGAAAGTATTTTTTTTTTTCACTTTTACAATGGTTCGAATAAACTTCCGTCCTAGGAAGACCCAGCAAGAAACCCAGCGGAACATTTTTATAAAATAATTCTATTCCTATTATAATATAGGGTAAGAGTTTTTTTTTGTTATTTAAACACGCTAATCTCTAAAACTACCATTCCGATTTGATTTTTTTTTTGTAAATTATAGCTTGATTAATGAGAAATAATATAAACTATCTAGCATTAGGCTCCACCTCTCAGCTAGCCTTAAATATGGATTTTTGTTAGGCAAGTTAGAAGAAAAAGCGCTCCCAAAATTATATGTCCGCGTTCGCTAGCGTACTGGTTAGTGATTTGTAAATACAATATTCTACAAAATATATATATATTTACTCCATCTAAAAGAAGTCTGCACCACCATATTATGCCTATTTCTTATACATAAGCCACAATATGCTATTTTGTTACAAAACATTATTGAAAATTAAAAAGTGATCGATGAGTGTTATTATTAGGCATGGCATATTGATCCTTATGAACGAAAGTTACTACATCATAAAGACGAATTTATGAAGATAAACTTTGCTCTTAATAGCAAATTATTTTGACACATAATTTAAGAGATATCGAGAAATTAAAATAATTAATTACTTATCTCGGCGCGTGAACGACGCATAAACCCTAGCCGTTTGCGTCCTCTATTACGTTTGCCATCTCTGGTAATGGAGAGGTTTTTATATTTCCTGGGACTTTGTTGTAATAGCTTATGCATTGCCCAATGAATAAATAGCTAACTCTGTAGAGTCGAGTAATTGGTATCACTAGCTTGTGTTTATGTCTTGTATTTACAGAGTGTATTTCACTTTCTTTATGAAAAGAACATAAATTTTTTTGGAAATGTACTGTGAGACCAAAGTTAACATCGGGCTGGTGCAACTTCCATAGGTAACGACATTTTCAAATCAAATAGGTTCAAATGTCAAATCAAACAATTATGTGCATTTGTATATATTTTATTTATTAAGATTTCTTTTAAATTTGCTATAGGAGCCGTTCTTTATTTACAGAATTGTTAATTTTTTTTATAGAATAAAGCTGACAAACAAGCACACATTCCACCTGATGGTAAGTGGTTACTGTGGCCCATAGACATCTATATCTATCTTCGTTTGCGAAATAAAATGCAGATGCGTTGTCAGCCGTGAGGACTAAGATAGAATGCCTCTTTTCCAGTAAAAGGGGTCTCCGGTTCTCTACACTCACCATACGAAACACAGCAGCATTAAGCTGCTATTTTACGCTGGTATTCTGTGAGAGCGTGGTCCTTCCCCGGTCGAGCCGACCGATTCGTGCTACAACTATACTATTAATATAGCTGCAACATGGCTCTACCACGTATGCATACGGACGTAAATATGCATTATAAAACTTTTCAATTAAACGGTGCATGAAACGGAAAAAATTATAACAAGAAAAAGCTATTCGTAGCAATAGTTCCCTTGAATGATGAAAGTTATGTGGTGATTTCAACTTTAATTGTAACATGATATTTAACGCGCGTAAATTTTTGGACTAGCCGTCTACGTAGAACAGGTTTTTATAGTGTACGATTGTGTGTACAAATACAAACACACTATTTCCTAAATCTGATAGTTCGATGGTATGGCAATTCGAACCGAACTATACTTAGAAACTACACAGTCAATTGTGACTGCTAACATTGTATTTGTTCAATAAAAATGTGATTTTATTTATATTATTTTTTCAGATGCAAGCAACGGGTGAAATAGCAGGCACATGCACCAATTGAAAAGATTCACATGTTAAAACATATTTGTAGCAAACATTGCATTTAAACCCGACTAAAACGATCTGTTATTTCATCAGTGGACTTAATTTAAACTTCCATAATTATGTGTATGTTAATTAGCTTTCATTTACATGTAGCAAAATATAATATCCCTCTAAAGTCATATATTGGTAAGAATTCGATTATATAAGTAAACCCAAAGTTATTTGTAATCACCTGGTTATAAATAAAAAAAAAGACTATACATTTATCTACAAACATTAGCAATAATAAGCACTCATTTTGAAAGCGACAATTAGTAAACGATCTCTGCGAGTAGTATGTATATAGGTACCTCTGTGAAGAAGCCTAGCGATTTGAACATAGTATTTCTTACACTTAAAAGATACTACACGTGCGGTAGGTGTGCGCGGAGGGCAGTAATATCGGTCTTACATATATGGGTCTAATAAATAGTTAAACAAGTTTTTGTTTACAAGTGATTTTATATTTCCATTAACCATAACAGTGATAAGTGGAACAAGTGTTATTCGCAGTATTTAACCAAGTATAGCGGGATAAGACTAAGTTTTAAAAATCGCAGTGACAATCAGCTGTGAAATCAGCTGTTTTAGTGTACCCCCATTAATTATGTTGAAATTTACTTTTAAAATATAAATTGTAGCATAGTTTTTATTTATTATTCTTCTAATAAGTGAATTACAGAGTCTTTATTAAGTTTTATGTTGAAAAATACCACTAAGCATAATTATTAATCATTCGAACCAATTGCTCATGGGGGGGTATATTGCCATAGTTGCCACGCTTGGCGAGCGGGTTGGCAATCGCAGAATGCCACAAAGCACGCTCAGGACCGTGCTTTGTGGCATTCTTTGGGGGAGGCCTATGTTCAGCAGTGGACTTGTGAAGGGCTGTAATGATGATGATGATGATTCGAACCAAGCAATCAATCTGTGTTGATATTTCTGCCATCTAGTGACAACTGTCAAAACTATACGTTATCAATTAGCTACATCGATTAATAATGGCAAATAAGTGTGGGCACTGCGGTAAATTTATTTCGCAGACAGATGGCGTTAAATGCTCAAAATGCACGTCGACTCACCATCGGCCGTGTGTTAATATTAGCCCCGAATCAAGGATAAGCCCAAAATGGATTTGTAAAACCTGCAAAATACCGCGCCAAAGCCCTGTGCCAGCCGACTATTGTATTGAGGCATCCGTAGACTCAAGAGTTGAATCCCACATTGAAGGTTTATTGGCTAAGGAAATTAAACTCCTTAGAACTGAGTTGAAGACTCTGTCAGAAGAAATGGTCAGTTTCCGGCAAGAAATTGCGAAACTAAACACCTCCATGACACAGTTTAATTCGAGACTGGACAGCGTTGAAACCCGAGTTACCTCCCTGGAACAACAAACGAAGGAGGGTCACAAGTCATGCAATAATAACGAACTGGTAGATATTAATGCGCGCTTAAAGCGCGATTTGAATATAAAGGAACAGGCGGCTCTTTGTAATGATTTAGAGCTCACCGGTATTCCTGAACAGAAGGGAGAAAGCCCGGGTCACCTCATGACACTCATCGCCAAAAAATTGGATGTAGAACTGGACGAGCGTGACGTGGTTAGTGTTGAACGTGCCGGTATGCGTCGAAACCGTGAGAGCTCGGATAGCGAACCACCGCGGCCTAGAATCATCGTCGTACGTCTGGCGCGGCGCTCTGTCCGACCAACTGTTGCGGGCGGCGCGCGTGCGTCGGGGCGTTGATACATCAGGTTTTAATATCAATGGAGAACCGACTCGCTTTTATCTTAACGAGCGCCTGACGTATGCCAACAAGCACCTTTTCCATAGGGCCCGACAGGAGGCACGGCGATGCAACTGGCGATATGCATGGACAAAAAACGGTGTAATATTTGTGAAGCGCGATTCTATGTCTAGTAAGCAAAAATATGTATGGACTGTGACATTGAAAAGGTTTTTGGTTCTTCATGAATTTGATCTTTTTTATAAAACATTCTTTAAATCATATCACTATGGGCATTTATCTTTCATATTTTGTTTTATTTTAGGTTTGAGAGTTAGGATAATAGGCTTTGCTGTGCTTTGCAATGTTCTTGTCGTATTTTGTTCAGTTTGTTTATGTATGACTTATATATAATTGGATATTTTCTTAACAATTAAGCGACCGTTTACCTTTAATGATTTTCTGAGCTTATACGAAGGTAACTGTGAACTAAATAGTATTATTTTTCTTGCTTTTAATTTATTTGTTAATAGTTCCTATTGTCCTGCTATTAATAATGAAATTGTATATTATTCTTTGTATAATATGCCTGCAATAACAAATTTAGATCAATTATTTCAATACAAAAACGTTCGGGTTCATGTTATCACTGTTAAAATGTTCATACCAGCATCAAAGTTACATAATATAATATATCTAGGTATATTATATACATTTTTGTGCAAGTTTAGTATTAACTGCGTCTCATATTATTATTATTTGTATTATTGTTGCATAGCACTAATTATATCTATAATGTTATGTATTTATAATTTAATATCTCAATATGTATCTACATTATATGATAAATACTTAGTTAATTTAAACCTTAATCAAAGATCTCTTACTTATCTTATTGTACATAATGGTTAGGCCGCAGAAATTAAAAGTTGGTTTTTTAAATCCCGGATCACTAGGTACGCATCATGATGAGTTCTTGGTAGCTATGGATCGTCAGAGAGTTGATGTGTTGGCTTTGAGTGAAACCTGGCTCAGGGCAGGTGAAGAAGGAAGGGCACCTCGTGTGCCTGGTTACCACCTGCGACATATTCCTAGGCCGGCAGAAGTTCGTTCTCGTGGTGGCGGTGTAGGTTTCTACATAAGACGTGGTTTACCAGTACGTAATCTACCCTACCCTATATCGCAGTCTATAGAACAAATGTGGCTAAGTGCCAAAATCAATGGTAAAATTGTCATAATTGGCACTGCGTATCGACCACCTTGGCTTCAAGCGCAAAATTTCATTGATGTTCTTTCAGATACAATAAACACGTTCTCGTCGTATGATTATTTACTACTTCTTGGCGATTTTAATATCAACTACTTAGATAAATCCAACCGTAATACTAAAATATTAGATGAATTCATTTTAATAAATAATCTTAAACAATATGTTAACGAACCCACACATTTCACAAGTAACAGCAAAACATTGTTGGATTTAATACTTTCTAACTTATCCCTAAACAAAGTAGAAGTGGAGTATATACCTGATTTGAGCCATCATGCGTTTATATCATGCGAAGTCAATCTTACTACGCACAAATGTCCACCGAGACTTGTTTCTTATAGACCAATTAAAAATATAAATCCTGAACAATTTCATCGACTTTTAAAGGGTATAAATTGGCAAAACATCGTGAATGTGCAAGATGTTAATGTTATGGTTGCTGAATTTAATTCAACCATATTATCTATATATAACCTGTTAGCTCCGATCAAAAAAGCCTATATTAAGGAACAATATCGTCCCTGGTTAACATATACAGTCAAATTAATGATGCGACTCCGTGATCGAGCATATTCAAGGGCATGTTTAACAAAAATAGATTCACATGTAAATTATTATAAACAATTAAAAAAACAGGTAGTGACTGCTATTTATAACGAAAAGACCGCTTATTTTAACACGTACATTAATTGTAATATTAGAAACTCCAAAACGTTATGGGAGCACTTACATCGTCAAATAAATATAAAAAATAAACATGATACTTGTCTACCCTACAATTTGCGTGACCCAAAAAAGATTAATAAACATTTCCTTGACGTTCCAGGCCAAAATTTTGCTTCTAAATCCGCTATCAACTACTTCGAAACCCATAAATTTAGCTCTAAAACTTTTGAATTTAATGCAATAGATAGTAATACAGTTTTAAAAATTCTACATGATCTGAAGTCGAATGCCATTGGGTTGGATGAAATTTCACTGGAAATGCTGTTATCCACTCTCCCATACTCTTTGAATGTTATTACGGTAATTATGAATAGTTCTCTGAGAGATAAGACATTTCCCAAACAGTGGCAAACTGCTTTAATAAAGCCGATTCCTAAGACAGATAATATTACGAATTTTAAAGACCTGTGACCTATTAGCGTATTGCCCTGTTTGTCTAAAATCCTAGAGAAAGCTGTATGTAATCAGTTAACTCATTATTTAGATGAAAATGAAATTCTACCGAGTGTACAGTCTGGCTTTAGGAAACGACATAGCTCTACAACAGCTTTGGCCGATGTAGTGGATAATGTTTTAAGTGCTCGGGATTCCGGTATGGTTACAATTCTAGTTCTTCTTGACTATTCCCGTGCATTTGACACGTTAAATAGGCAGTTGTTTTTCTCTAAATTAAACTACTATGGATTAAGCTCGGAAACTATAGATTGGTTTCGTAGCTATTTTAATGACCGTAGGCAAATTGTCGAAGTAACAGTTGAAAACGGCAAAAAAATAGCATCTGATTGCTGTGCTGTTACAAGAGGTGTTCCGCAGGGTTCAATACTTGGTCCCTTGATTTTTTCGCTGTATAGTGCTGATATCGTAGAACATATATTAAACTGAAGCTATCATATATTTGCTGATGATATACAAGTGTATATTTCTTTCAAGCCAAATGAGAGTACTGTAGCCATACAAAAATTACATGAAGACTTAAATCGTATAGTCGACTGGTCTGAAGCAAATACATTAGTACTTAATCCTAATAAAACGAAATATATGCTACTTGGTACCAAAAAACAAATAAATAAAGTTTTGGCAAATCGTCCTTTAATTTCAATTAAAAATGTAAATATTGATCGAGTTACTGAGATTAGAAACTTAGGAATATTGATGGATGAGGTACTACACTTCGAAAAACATATAATAAATAATGTTAAAAATTGCTTTTACAGATTAAAAGTGCTATACCAGATAAGGGATGTATTAAAGACGGAAGTCCGTATCAGATTATGTGAGTCCTTGATACTGTCCAAATTCAATTATGCAGATGCAGTAATAGGTCCAAGACTTCTCAACCGTTCAAAGAAACTTATACAGCGCGTGCAAAATGCCTGTGCCCGTTTCTGTTTTAAAATACCTCCCCGTGCACATGTTACACCTTACATTAATAATGCGAAAATGCTTAAAATGGATTACCGCTGGCAGTTGCATTTTGCTACGTTGTTGTTTGGTTGTATCAAATACAGGGCACCGTCTTATCTCTATGAAAAATTACGCTGGGCTCGAGACAATGTCTTAACAAATGTAGTGACAAGAGCTTCGGCGTACGGGTTGCTTCTGCCCCAACACCGCTCCGCTGCGTTACGAGGCAGTTTTCGATATGCAGCAACCAAGTGTTGGAACAACTTGCCGCCGCCGCTCCGTAATACGCAATCGATACATAGCTTCCGTCAAAAATATAAATTGTTCCTCTTAGATCAGCAATCTCAAAGTTAAATAGTGCAGATATTTTAATAGTATGTAATTTTATAAAGAATATATGAGCGTATATATGTGTATCTATGTGTGCTTGTTTATGTTTATGTATATATATGTACATACATATGTGTATTTGTATGTGTGTGTATATGTATATGTATATATATATGTATATGTGTATGTATATGACGGCACCTGCACCGTTGTAGGTGCGGTGGCGTCGGTCTAGCTACACAGAATTCTTGTAAACGACACGTGTACCGCACACCTGTGGCATTGCACCTGCGTTGCCACCCGTCCTGCTTGTATAAAACGGACGGAGCGGCCGCCGTTAAGACAGTCTTGGCTCTGACGTGGAACGGTGCGCTTGTCGTATTCCCTTACTAGTTTATCCTCGACTTGTTGGATAATTAATTCGTGTAAACGAATTAATTATTATTCCTAACTACAAAATTAGTCTCTGTACTATACTCAATTACCCTTCCTACATCAGAAGTGGGATAAAGTCCCCATTTTTGCCCACATACAATCTTCGAATAGTATGAGGATTATTACATTTGTGAAAGACTATAATGCATTCTGCATTGATGATTCTATTTTTATGTTAAATACCGTAATGAAATTTGCTGTCCTACTTACGATATTGTCGTATCATTAAAGTGTAGAGAAAAGATAAAGTGAAATTATTTAAGTCAAAAGTTAAATCTTTTTATTCAATTTATAATAGAAAGTACCCGCAAGTAATTTCATTATTTCTTAACGTACCCAAATATGATAAAAAATGTCGAAAGAAATGTTGGAGATATTCTGAATGAGTTATAGTTTGCATTCAGTGGAAGTTTAACTTGCTCAAGTAATGTTATAATTTGATACACGAGGTGTGATTTACATGGCCTAGTTTTAAAGTTCAAAATGTTTAAACGATGTACCGAAAAAAAGAACATGATTACTTTAACGTGCTATGACTTAAAACACTAAGTAGTATTTTTGTGATCTAATGTGATGATAAGTGTTACAGTTTACTCCGAGCATTACGTAGTCGACAAACTTGAAATGGTTTAGTGGATAGCGTGGAGCTGTAGCGCTCGCTTTTGAGTATGCTGTCGGCTTATGACGTCGCGGACTTATTATTTGTCGCTGCTACTGATCACCATTAGATACATGAGGAAAGTAAATTTATCCTAAACATTGGCTCAGAAACTATTTTGTAAGAGTGAGTGTTTACATTTTGAATTGGTTGCGAAAAATGCCAGAAAACCGAAGTATAACTGATGAAAGTGAAGT